ATGTGCACATTCTATCCATTCCTTTTCTTTTCTTTTTTTTTTTTTGGAGAGGTTTTTGCTATCGCCCCCCAGGGGGGATGGTCTCGCCACAATCCCTTCTGCTCTGTTCTCCTCTCGGGATCTTGGGCACGCACGCACGCACGCACCCACACGTGCCCGGCGTGAGTTTTAAGCTACTGGGTCCGGGATGTGAACCGTGGTTGACTACATGGGAGTCCAGCGGCATAGCCATTACGCTAACTGCTGGCCCCGGCTATCCATTCCTTTTCAAAAGCATGGCATCGAGATGGGAGTTTGTGGGGCTGTTCACCACCTTGGATTGTCATCTAGCAATCTATGTTAATGCCCAGCCTTTTCTGCACATGAAGAAAAGGCATGACTTGTCACCACACTGCCCTTGTCTTCCAGGGACCACTGCTGCAGACCCACCAAACACACTTGTTCTAATGGCTTGGAATACACACACAAGACACACCTAAAATTGGGGTTTCTAGAGACAGAGAAAGATGGGTTTGTGGAACTTTTCTCTGAAGTTTACTTTTTCATAGTTCATTTTAGTTACTTCCTATTCCTTGGTCAAATATGACTTTATAAGACACAAAGGACATGAAAGAATTATAAAATGTAACCTCATTACGTGCTCAAGGGGTTACAAACTTCCTGACTGGCATTACTCTATGTAATTATGCTAGCAAGAAATTGATTTTTATAAAAAGCTTTCTCCCTTTTTGATTTGCTCTACCATATCAATGGCACAAAATCACTGTTCCATCTAAGTGTATTTGCTCCATCTCTCCTTTACAGATCAGAATTCATATTTTCTTATAGTTCTCAGAAAGATACATTAAAATGTTTAAGCTTGAAATGTCTCTGTGAACAAGTTTTGAATTAAACAGAATTACATGGTGCGACAAGTGTAGACTAATGGCAACAGCACACACAGACTGGACCGGCAGCCCTGAACCTGAATCTGTGTCCTGCTCTAACAGTATCCAGCAACTTCAATTTCTAAAACTGAAGTATGGGGCCCGGAAGTGGTGTGGTGGTGAAGGCACTGGTTACTACGTGGCCGACCATGCTGACATAGTCCTGACTCAGTGGCTTGAAAATCATGTTGAGCCTGCAAGTGTGTACACCCAAAAGGGACTGCAATGTGACTGCTCTCCAGCAGGGGGAGATTTCCCACTTGCTCTCTCACTCTGATGACTGCATGGACCTATAGCAAAACTGAAAAAGAAAAAAAAAATCAAACTATGTTCCTCTAAAAACAATCTCTCTTATTACTGCTAAATTTGTTTTGGCTGGAAGCAGTGTTTCACAACTTTTACAGAATTTCATGAAGCCATTTACAGGTTGACTATCCCTTATCTGAAATGTTTCACACCAAAAGTGTTTGGATTTCAGACTTTTCTGGATTTTAAAATATTTACATGTACACAATGAAATATCTGGGAGATGAAACCCCAAGTCTAAACACAAAATTCATTTAAGTTTCATATGCACTTTATAACCTGAAGGCAATTTTTTTGCTATTTCTGTACTGCAGTTTTGACGATGACCAGGCACATGAAGTCAGCTGTGGGATTTTCCACTTGGGACATATGCTGATATTCAGGTGGTTTCAAATTTTGGAATACTTTGGATTTTCAGATTAAAGATATTCAACCTTTATCACTTCCTCAACAAAAATGAACACAATCCACATTATATTTTGCAAACAAAGGATGGCTTCAGGTAATCACTGAAGTCCACATATCCCAAATTAGGAATCTTTCAGAGAACTACAGTAATTCCCAATGTTTTTTAAAAAAAGCTATTTACTCATTTTCTCTCTCTCACACACACACACACTTTATAGTCTTATTGTTCAGTAAGTATTGAACACTTATTTTAATAGTACTAACATACCAGTAATAACTTAACCCTTACGAAAGTGTAAAAGAAAGTTTTATCTTCATTGGCAAAAAGAAAGTATTTTTCCCCTTAAAACATGTAAGAGTGAATGAGTGTGTAGTTTTAGATTATCCAGAGAAATTACTCAAATCAGTGATTTCTACTAATGAATTATGGTCCTTAGAAATATGAAGGTTTAAAGTAGATTAAACTCAGAGAAATCCAAACTGAGATTAGGTCTGGCTTCGATTTGTCTACATGCATTCACAGTGATACCATGAAAGCAGCAGCTGCATCTCTGCCAAAGTCTCGGCTGCTGTAATTACAGACAGACCCCTTAGGAGAGGGCTGTCACTACTTTCCAAGGACAGTAATTACAGAGCCTTTGTGTAGTGCAGATTTTAAATTCCAGGGACACTGAATTGCGACCAGATTATGAGGATGACCTTAATGGCACAGTCGCTTATTAAAGCAATCATCAGACTTACTCCACGTGAAAGTTTAATATTTCTGAACTTCACTTGATTTACTCTGCAAATTCACCTTACCTTGAAACTATAGCAACCGCATTACTAAAGAAACAAAAAACACCATTCAGACAAGCTAACCCTATTAATGAACTAATTTCATAAAACTGAAGGCCAAGTGAAACCAAGTCATGCTAGGCTATTACTTTCAAACATCATCAATGAACCAAACACTGGTATTATGAAATACCAGCTAAACTGAAGCCTCCTCCCGCCCCCCAAAAAAAAGTTCTTACAAAATAGGAATACAAAAGGTGCCATTGGGCCACCCAGTAGGTGGCATGGAAGGTAAAGTGCTGGATCCCACATGGGTGGCTGCAAGCTGTGAAAGAGTCCCAGACACCATCACCACCCACCACCACCCTCTCCCCCAGCTGGAGAATAATGCTGGGCACATGGACATGTGTGCCCAAATCTCGGGAGGAGACTGCAGCACGGCCATTCCCTTCAAGGGGTCATATCTCAGTCTCTCTCTCTCTCTGGTGAGCACACATGCCCTATAGCAAAAAAAGAAGGAAAGGAACTGCTAAATTTTATCGTTATCTTTGACATTTTCCAGATTTAGAGAAAAGCTAAACCCAACACATTCAAGGTTTGGAGAGTTACTCTGTCTACCATACCCAACAGGGTAACACACAGGCACTTCCAACTCCCTAAATTACCCTTCATAAAAATATTTTAAAATAAGTTAGAAAATATCAACACAGCAAAAGCAGACCAAAAGTAAATTGACCAAAAATCACAACTGCCAATTTTCTAAAGTTAATCTTTGGGTACTATGAAGACAGTAATTAAAAAATTTTGTAATCCAGATACAGTATGAGATCCTTCAGTAATGATTTAATAAATTAAAACTGCTCAAGTAGACTTGTTAATGTACTGACAAAAAGTGATCCTCAGGTCCGTTAAAGTAAAGAAATACAATTTTTTTTACAGGTTGCACAAAACGTATAGAACTATAAAAATAGGATTGAGGGGCCAGCAAATGGTTAATTGTTCCATCGCTAGACTCCCATGTAGTACACCACAGTTCGAGTCCGGACCCTGCAGCTTAAAACTCATGCTGGGCACGTGTATGTGTGTGACCAAACGACCTAGAACGGAGAAGGGACTGAAGCATGGCCATCCCCCCTGAGGGGGGCGATTTCTAGCTTTCGGTGTTTCTCCCTCAGACTCCCAAGCACGTGTGCCCTATAGCAAAAATCTCTCAAAAATAGAATACAATTGATATATACTCTAAAATTATAATAATTGAGATATATCCTAAAATTATAATTATAAATTATAATTTGCCACTAGGGTTAATATTTCAAAAAATGTATATACACGTTATTATGCTATTCTTCCTGAAGGTCACCAGGACCGCCCTAGGTCAATGGTGTCCTGACATTTAAAAAAAAAAAAAAAAAAAAAAAAAAAAAAACCCAGCCTGCACAGATACCCAGGACGCGGAGGCACTCTCCCCTAAGTCTGGACATTGGAATGGTCAGGTGAGGTTCAGCTTCTGGAACACCTGGGAAACAAGGTATAGGCAGGCTTTTTCGTTTTTCAAGGGTTTCAAGGATCTACTGAGCAAAAGCAGACACTGAAAACCCCCTCTGAACGCCGACCTCGCCCCTCCAGCACCCTCAGCCTCTGGGCTCACCTTGCGGGACCGCCGCGGTGTGTTCTGAACGAAGCCTAGGGCGACACGCAGCTAAGTCGATGACACTTCCCCTACAGCCCGCGACACTTCTCCCTACAC